CATGACTTTTGTTAGTTCGGGGATGTCCGTATGTAATGTCAATACTTCATGTAGCTAACGAGACATTTTTAAAGTCTGCATGTGTGACTATGTGATGGTGTATCTTTCGCGTAGCTGGCAAACATTTTCCCATATTTTTTTATCAGTGTTAAAATTGTTAACTTCAAGATCTGTTTATGATTGTCATCATTATTCATTATTAGTAACTACTCTCTCCGTTTCGTTTTAGTTGTCGTTTAAGGTTTTTCACACAAATTAAGAAAAGCATTAAATTTTCTGTTTTACCCTTTATTAATATATTTTATAAAAAATTTCATTGGCCAAAACATTAAAACAGTAGGGATAAAACTAAAATTTTCACCAAACATTTACATTAAAAACCTAAAACGACAACTATTATGAAACAAATTTAAATGCTAAAACGACAACTAAACCGAAACGGAGGGAGTACTATTTAATGACGTCATTAAATAATAATTTAGTAGTTGATTATGTAGTTTATCCAAATACTTTATCCATGAAAAAAGGATTTCAACTTTTAAATATTAATGGAAAAATGATTAAAAGAACTTTTGTTGAAATGACAAAAGAATTATCTATAAGTTTCAGAAATTATCTTCACATGTTTTCCAAAAAACAAAAATGTTTCAGAAATTACTTATTTTGCATAAATTTTTACTTTTTAAAGTGAAAAAGGACAATTTAACTAGGAAAGGAAACGCATTGGAGTTTCTTAAAAATAAAAGTGCTACCTATTAGAGATCAGAATTATTATTTATTTTCTTCAAAATCTGTTTAAGATCATATTAATATAAAATTTAATATCTTGCTCAGTTGTATGAATGTATCCGTGATTATGGGTAAAACATCACATTTTTTGTAATATGATTATCATTGAGTTAATTAGATTAGATACACGTGGCATCCTTTAATAGGATGAAATACTGGTTTTGACATCACCATAACAAGTAATGTAGTTAGATTTTAGCCAACAATATTTAATTAACACTAATTTGAAGATTTACCATAATTTGTTATATCCGGGTCAGGTTGGATCGGGTCGGATAAAGTAACGCGTGAGGAGGGATGGGTCCCGCTATTACGAAAACGGATATGCGCTTTCTGTTCAACACGGAAAACGACGTTCTCATTCTCTCTCTCGCTCATGAATTATTTTGATTCCTGATATTTCCCATAAATATGGTTAATTATGTAATACTCTCTCCGTTTCGTTTAAGGTTTTTCACATAAATTAAGAAAAACATTAAATTTTCTGTTTTATCCTTTATTAATATATTTTATAAAAAATTTCATTGGCCAAAACATTAACACAGTATGGATAAAACTGGAATTTTCACCAAACATTTGCATTGAAAACCTAAAACGACAACTATTATGAAACAAAATTTAAATCCTAAAACGACAACTAAATTAAAACGGAGGGAGTAGTATCTAACCTCTTTTCTTTTTAGTATTATTCAATTAAGTTTTTGATGAGTGATACAAGTATATATCGGGATTCATTTGTGTTTCTAAATAAATTAAGGTTAAGTTTGTGTCTTGCTTAATCTTGACATTTGACTAGAAAACACGAATTGTTACATCTATAATCGAAATATATTTTCCCTGCAATTTCTTTGTAATCATATATATGAATTTCATATTGAAAGAACATAATTTAACTGTCTAACTTATTTTAATTATCTTTTACATTTGTCAAATCTATACTATTAATTGGTAAGCATTGAATAATAAATAACCTTATAAAGGGTAAAGAATTACAAAAGATTGCCATTAGAATAATTCCATTTAAAGACTAAATGAAAAAAATTGTTGGAGGGAAAAATCATAATTTGAAAGCAAAATACCCATGGATCATGGGCAACTGAATCGGTTATTTACGCGGATTCTGGGCTAATTTTTGGATCGACACGCGGATCTTTGGTGTGATCCTCACGGTTGAGATTTGACAATCTGAACAATATTACCATAAAATTAAATAAAATTAAAAAGATTATCAAAACAATTGTATCCCTATAATCTCGGAAAATAATTAAGGTCATAACAAATTATGCGTACAGCGTACTCAGTTCCAAATTGAACAAAAACAGTATATTCATTACCTCTGAAATCAGGAATATACCTAAAATATTTATTCTTTGCACACAAAAAAAAAAACCTAAAATATTTATTCAAAAGATTGTTTCGCAAATATATTCTTTTGATCTAATAGAACAAAACCTAGCCGACCTCTTTTTCCTATAAATAGAGAATGTCTAATACCATTCTCAAGACTCATTAAGCTATCAAACGATGGTTGAACAAGACAATTCACTTGAAATATTGAAAACCCTTCTCCAAAAAAATAATGGATGGTTTCTCCTTGCTAAAAACAAAATCTTTTTAAAATCCATATTTTGCTTAGTCGAAATTTATTTATTCTTTGTTAAATCTTTCATTGTGAAATTTGTTTAGATGTTATGTTTCCTCTCTTTCTTTTGTTTATAATTGTTTGATCTTTGTTAAGTTTTATTTGATATGGTTAATAACTATGATGTGTTTATGCAGGGTTTCAAAGTTAAACAGAGTTGGAGAAGCCTAAGGAATTGTCTTCTAATTACAGGTCAGAAGATTAAATCTTTATGTTCAGAATAATAGAAGCTAATTCCGAGACGATGTTCTAATAGTGGTCTCAACCTTATAAGTATAAGTTATGAGCGTAAAGGATTCTGGCATAACAAGACAATAGATGTTGTGTTCAAATAGTCGTTCCAACTCTTTTACAAAACTTATATTTTATGATTTTTAACTCTATCTTTTTGTGACATTGTGTTATTTATTTATTTATTTATTTTATTAGCCATTTAGCCATTTAGAGTTAAGATATGTTACTCTATGGTTTTATATTAGATTACAGACATAGAGTAAATAGTTTTATGTGTATGAAAACTACTAAACTCAAAAAATTATGTAGAATTCTAACTCATTAAACAAAGGATGACACAAGAAGCAATTACGAAACCATTTTAAAATTGTTTAGGTGAAGTTATTAAACTCACTAGGTGACTCTGATTGCTTATTAGGTTAGTCTTCAAACGTTTTTATAAATTAAAATCTGAATATATATTCAGTGATGCTCTCAAAGGCCATCTTTGTACCTTGCAAACACCAAGATAACATGAATCACTACAAAATCTTCAAAGTTTAAAATCTATTATATAATATATAAAGTTTGAACATGATTTTCTCACTCCATCAATTTCATTTCAACAATTAACGACATAACAATTGAGAATTAGAGTCTAAGACCATGTACACCGGTGAAACAAATAGAGTATCAAAAGCCCAAAAATATTTTTTTAATGGATCAGACACAATTTTTGGGCTTGATCCGTATCACTGGGATGAAACTTTTGATACCCAATATCATTGACGTGGCGGTTTCTTATTGGTTCCGAGAAAACGCGTTTCTTTTTCTAAAAACAGGAAAAAAAAAAAAAAAATTCTCATTCTTCTTTTCTCGCTAACCCTAGAAACGCGATGGAGAAAACGATTTCTTCTCCTCCGCCGATCTCCTGCCTCCGCTCTCTCCGTTTCTTCTCCGGTTTCATCTCCGGTTTCATCTCTTCGATTCTATTTCACCTCTCCGTTTCTTCTCCGGCTTCATCTCCTCGATTCTATTTCACATTTCCTCGGGCGATTTTCGATTCTCCTCACCTCCTCGATTCTAACGAGCTTTGATTTGTGCTTCTCTCCTCTCCTCCGCTCCTTCTGCTGTTAAGGCCAGTAATAAGCCTTTGAAAGGTATGAACTTTGGTTCCCTTTTACCTTAAATGCTTTGGTCTTGTCTTTCTCTGTTACATAACGAGTTTGGTCTTGAAAGTTTGCATTTTTATATCTATGTTTCTCCTTCTGATATGTCTGATGGAAGTATTTGTGTAATTTGTTTGTCTCATGAACCCGTAAGATTGGTTTGGGAATATAGGTCTTAGAATTCGATAGGTGTTATTTGTCTATCTCTGTAGTATATTTCAATCATGAATTCAGAACCTTTAATGATGAGATTGAACGTTTTATTGATAAAAACTTTGTTTGCTGCTTCTCTTTAGGTAAGAGGGAGCCTGAAGATGATGTTGATACTAAAGTGAGTCTTAAGAAGCAGAAGGAAGACGTGATTGCTGCTGTACAAAAGTAAAAAGCTGTGAAGAAGGTGACTAAGAAGGTTGATGTTCAATAGTCTTTAACAACACAATTCTATAGCTTTGTCCTGTTTTTCTTATTGCTTTCTTCTATGGCTTAGGCAGGTATACTTGGTAACATGCAGAATTTGTATGAGACTGTGAAGAAAGCTCAAATGGTTGTTCAAGTAGAGGCTGTTAGAGTGCAGAAGGAGCTTGCTGTGTATGTCCCCACACCAATAGCCAAACCATTTGCATTACTATATTCTTTAAGTTTCGTCTATCTCCTATGAGTTTCATTCATGCCTGTTTTGATTCCCTTTTTTTTCAGTGCTGAATTTGATGGTTATTGTGAAGGCGAGCTTGTCAAGGTATTACAGACTCTGGATCATGGATGTGAGACATGTGCTGTCTGATTCATTACTTCTGTGGATTATTACACAGTGATGCTATTTTTAGTTTGTTTTTCGATCTCTTATGAGTTAAGTGACCAAAAGCTTTGAACTTGTGTATCAGGTTACATTATCAGGTAACCAGCAACCAATTCGCACTGATATCACTGATGCAGCAATGGAATTAGGCTCCGAAGTGAGTAACCTTCATTTAACTTTCTGTTGCACTTACTTCTACATAGGAATGATCAAAGCTATATCCTTCAGCTTCTTATGTTTCTTGAGAATTGTGTTTTACTAGTACTAAAACTAGTTGTATTTGTTTAATTTAAATAGAATGTTGCTGCTACCAAGGCTGCAAGTAGTTCAGATTCATCTGATGAAGATTCTGATGAGGTTAGCTGCTGCTACCAAGGCTACAACTTTGTATTTTCTTTATATCAGTCATTGACATCATCCATGTGTCTGTTGATATTTGCAGGAAAGTGAAGATACTACTGAATGTCTTCATGGTGCAATTGTTGTGGAGAAGATGCGTAGGTGAAAGGTACACTCCTAAATTGCTTTAATTGTTAATTTTTGTGTGTGTAAAATTGAATTGAATTGAGATTAGGAACAATGAAATTAAATAGAAACTGACCACTTTAATTTAATAGAGATTAGATAGATGTGGTTGAGAATGTAGTTGTCTTTAAATGAATCAATGAATACAGAAAAAGTAGATAGTGAATTTATTGTCATCTCTTTAACAATAGTTTCTCTGAAGTTTAATGTATTTGTGGCGTTGGTGATGAGATGGAGTGAATTTAAACAGAAAAAAAAAATTAAATGCAACTGAACTTTAACTTAAAGTTCAATAAAATGGTGATGAGACATTAGCCATCTAAATTAAAGTTATGTTGATGGCTAGTGTCTCAGTGACTTGAATTAGTATTGTGTTTGTTATTTATTGAGGCTTTTCCTTTATAATGTCGACAATGAGAACTAAACAAACCACTTAAACTCTTCTAAAACACAAAATGGCTTCCAACTTAAACTATTCCTCCTCTCAATCCTTCACCAATCTCTTGTTTAGCCAAGAAGATAACCCAACGCCTCTCAGTCCTTCACAGCCTCCTTTTTCTGAATCCCAAACACCCACATCCTTAGCTAGGGCGTCTAGAGTGAGATGGAGTGTTCCTGAAGAGAAGGCACTTGCAAGTGCCTGGCTCAACACATCCAAAGACTCTGTTGTGGGGAATGAGCAGAGATCAGCTGCCTTTTGGGATAGGGTTGCAGCATATTATGCTGCATGTCCTGCTGTCTCTAAGCTCACCATCCGAGAGCCAAATACTTGTAAGCAGAAATGGCAAAAAATGAATGAGCTTGTGATGAAGTTTGCAGGCTGTTATGAGTTTGCCTCTCGGACTCCTCGCAGTGGAGAGAATGAAGATGACATTATCGTGCTGGCCTACAAGCTTTACCATCAAGATCAAAAAAACAAATTCAGTCTTGAGCATGTTTGGAGAATCCTCAAGACTGATCAGAAATGGTGCAATTGGTGTGAGACCAAACTTCCTGCCAAGAAGAAAGCTAAACTTTCATCTGTAGAAGAAGAGAGTCTTCAAAGGCCTATAGGTGTGAAGGCAGCCAAGGCTTTAGCCAAGTCTAAAGGTAAGGGAAAGAGTGAAGGAGGAGCTGAAGCTGGTTCTGCTGCTGAACTTCAGCTTTTGTGGGAAGTGAAAGAGAAGGATTTGGCTGTCAAAGAGAGACTCTCCAAGCAGAAGCTACTTGACAGCCTTCTTGGAAGGTCTGATGGATTGAGTGAGATGGAAATTGAACTTAAGAACACTCTTATCAAAGAGTATCTTTCTGGAAGCAATGTGTTTGTTTCTGAGAATGAATATTCTGGTCTTTAGGTATGTGTTGTTAGTTAAGTTGTTTTGTTTACTTAACATGTAGTATTATCTGATATTCTTTGCTTGTTTATGTGCAGGACCTCCTCTTGGAAGCTAGTGATGTCGGCAAGGAATGGATTGAGTGGTTCTGTTGCTTCAATGTCATCTTCTATGACTTTTTTTATTCGGATGTAACTTGTGTTTTGTATGGTCAGAAGCTACTTGTGGTTTGTTTGGTAGCAGCATGTATGGTCGGCAATGTATTGTTATTTTCTATGGTCATAGCTAGTTGTGTTTTGTATTTTAGTAGTAAAATGTATGGTCGGCAATATATTGGTCAGAAGCTACTTGTTTTTAGTGTATGTGTATTATTGTGTTCTCATATTTCTCAATGTATTATATATATATAAGTTGTTGTGTTCTCATATTGTCATAAGCATAGTCTTCCTCTCTCTTTTTTTCTCAATACAATTCTTCTCCAAAACAATCTTCCTCTCTCATATTTCTCAATACAATTCTTCTAAAACAAGTCTTTGTTTCTTTCTCTAAAAACAAGTCTTTGCTTCCTTTAATTTTCTAAAAACAAGTCTCTTTTATTTGTTTTCCTTCTCAAGTCACACATCTCTTTTAATTGTGAACTTCCCTAAACACAAAATTTCTTTTTATTTCTTGTACGTTTTGCTTCTTAAATAATAATGGCATCACATTTTAATGATGATGACACTTTGGAGGAGAGGTTTGAAACATGTTTTGAAGATGGTTTAGAGAATTTCAGTAGACGTGTAGCGGGGAAAAAAAAGAAAAAAAGGGCTGCTAATATAGAGAGAGATCACGAAGAAGGAAATATTCGATTATGGAACGATTACTTTTCGGATGACCCCGTTTACCATGATCGCATGTTTCGACGACGATTTCGTATGACGAAGCCGTTGTTCCTTCGTATTGTTCAAAGTCTTTCTCAATTTCCATATTTCCAACAAAGGGACGATGCTACTGGGAAGCAAGGACTATCTGCCCTACAGAAATGTACTGCTGCAATTAGGCGTTTGGCATATGGTCTTGCAAACGATGCGATGGACGAATACCTCCGCATGGGCGCAACCACTGTGAGCCAAGCACTAGAGAATTTTGTAGATGGCATAATAAATTTATTCCAAGACGAATATTTGAGGCGGCCTACACGTGAGGATCTAGAACGGTTACTTCATTCTGGAAAGGAACGCGGATTTCCGGGAATGGTAGGAAGCATTGACTGTATGCATTGGGAGTGGAAGAATTGTCCTACGGCTTGGAAAGGACAGTATTCACGCGGACATGGAAAACCCACTATTGTTTTAGAGGCCGTGGCATCACAAGATTTATGGATTTGGCATGCTTTTTTTGGGGCTCCAGGTACGTGTAATGATATAAATGTTCTTGACCGCTCACCGGTGTTTGATGATATATTAGAAGGTCGAGCTCCACGACTCAGGTACGAAGTCAATGGACATCAATACAAAATGGGTTATTACCTCACAGATGGTATATATCCGAAGTGGGCAACATTCATCCAATCAATTACCCGCCCACAAGGACCGAAAGCATCATTATTTGCTAGTTGTCAAGAAGCAGTGAGAAAAGATGTCGAGCGTGCTTTTGGAGTCTTGCAGGCTCGGTTTGCTATTATTCGAAACCCAGGTCTGTTTTGGGATAAAGAGCGAATGGGCAAGATAATGAGAGCATGTATCATATTGCACAATATGATTGTAGAAGATGAACGAGACGAAAATACTCAGTTCGATTTATCTGATTTCGTAGAAGGCGAAGGAAGCGGGACTTCTCAAGTAGACAACTCTTTTTCTACAGAGACAGCTACAAATGTGAACAATTTGATGGCCAATCGAGCTCAAATACGTCATGAACAAACACATCGACAATTGAAAGAAGATTTGATTGAACATATTTGGCAAAAATGGGGCCAAGGTAATTGACTACAACCGACTAAATTATTATTTTCATCATGTTTTTTTCAGTTTTTTTTGAATTTTATGTTTTATTTTGCTTAAGTATATTCTACTTTTTTTTTCTTGTAATATTACCTTTTGTAATCTTATGTTTTAATATATTAATTTTTGATTTTGTAAATTTTTTTTTTTAATGATACTTAAACCGGTATCACCAATGCAAACATATTTACTAGGAGTATCATAAAGAATCTCAAATAATAAACAAACATTATAAATAATACTAAAAAATTCCTAATGATACTATATGGGTATCACCCATGTACATGCTCTAAGAGCTTCCATTTTAGACATGTGTTTTCAATTATATATATTTATAAAGAACACATCATATGTTTCAAGAGTAGAAGAAATTATTGAAAAACAATTTACCTCATTTTTTTGAAACAGAAGACCTAAAGACCTCCGAATATTGTACATGCATGAGAGTACGACAACACGAAGCAGTGGATCAAGAACTCAGAACGCCAAAAGAAAGACTGATACGGCAACTCTACTAGAATTTGCACGAGTTGAGATTAGGGTTACTTGGCTGTCTTCCGAGTAAGAATCACCGGAGAGAAGAGATAACAGAGAGATATGATGCGAGAGCTTTACTTGGAGACTGATTCCTATCAGGGATACATCGGATCTCGATACACATCGGAGGAGGAGATTCCTGAGACGCCGGCAGCAATAGAGGTAGGTGTGGTGGCGGATTTGAAACGGTGAGGAGTAGTGGAAGAGGTGGAGGAGGACGAAGAAGGTGGGTGATAAGATCGAGTAATAGTATGGGCTCTGTGTGGGCTTTATCAAATAATGGTTTATGTTTAGTTAAGGCCTTTTATGAGTTGTATTTTTTTTTTTGGTCAAATTATGAGTTGTATTCAAGTTAAGCTTCTCCTTCATAGAAACCAGTATCAAAGAATAATGAATGATTTATTTTTTTTTTCTCTTTTTCTCTTTTATGAAACCTACTTAGTAGATCTGTTTATTTTAGGTATCAATCATGACGTGAAATAGTGGATACATGTAATTTGGATCATTGATATTAATCTACAAAATTAATATCTAAACAGAAAACACGGGTATATCTAAATCTCTCATTTATTAGAAAAATGTTAATTCACAAACAGATAATTATTTTAAAAGAAATAATTATATTTATAGAATTCATAAACATATAAAACATATATTTCCAAAAAGTATAAAATAACAAACTTAGACTTAACTCTTACTATTAAAAATATTTATAAAATTTTAGTAATATTATAAAATACTAATAAAACGGATATTTATGAGTCAGGTAGTAGGGAAACTGATCAGGAAACAGGAAGGTTATTTAAAATTATATTAATACCTAATACTCGATTCTTATCTACGGGTAATATAATTTTAATAACTTTTACCCATCTTAAGGAAACATATGCCTTTTTTTCGAGACGGGTACGAATCGGATAACAGATCGAATACATGTAACGAATACAATGCCCAACCCTATTATGCTATACAAAAATACAAATACGAACAAAACTCCACACGAATTTTCAATTAAATAGTATAATTTGTTTTTTAAATATGATATACTACGCTTATCTATATTAAATAATATAATCTTTTATTATAGATATACACCAAACTTATCCTCACAAAACCCAACTATTTTTTATACAAACTATACACAAATACATATTTTATCGACCGATTCATTTGTTTACCATACCAATATATTCAATCATGTAATATGTCACATATAATCTATTTTTATTTTTTAATAGTCATCCCAAATTTAAATTGATATACACACATTCAAAACCTATATAACATAAGTTTTATACTCAAAATTTTGTATGTTAATAAAACTCGCACGTACGTGCGGATCCGGATCTAGTTTACTTTTAAATAACGTAACTACAACTAAAAGATCCTAAGAGATTAACGTTCATAAAAAGATGCCCATCCTATATTTTCATATTGAAGATGAGAATTTTTCTTTTTCAACCTACTCACCGAAAATGACGTGCTTAGTATAAAACTCTTAATGATATGTCGGTTTCGGTGTTAAGCTTCAATATATACAAGACACAATATCTTATGACGTTTTTTTTTTTTTTTTGCCTAAATATTATGACATTTTTTTTTTCCCCCAGTTTGTTTATTTAGATCTACTCCATATATAATAGTTGATGAAAAGAAATTATACACGTAAATAGAATTGAAAAACACGTTAATATATGGAGAGACGCCCACATGATGGTGGGCTGGTGGCTTTGTGGGTCCAGGGTGGTTAGGTGCAATTCTCTCTTCCTCCATGGTTCGACTTCTCCTGTTGTTATCAATATTATTGTGGGAAGTCCGTCGGTTGTGCTTTGGTCCAATTGGTTTATCTGATAGTCAGAAATGCAGGCGGCCTGACTACCACCTGACACTTAATCGGAAGGCATTCCAAACTCAGGATAGGCACAGTGGTAGCCCGTAAAGGCCTAACCGTTAACACGGTACACTAGTCCACTATGTAGCATCTTGGTGCGTTCCTACCGGGACCGACCAGATAGCCGATAGATTTTATAAAAAAAAATATATATATATTCGGAGACGACTTTAATTTGTAGCGCCATTAGTTTGGTAGCACTAGATCGACAATAAACTAATTAAACAATATACCAACTTGAGTTTAATTCGTCAAAGAGACAGCTACACAAATAAATCAATCAATAGGCGTAAACTAACTCACAATACATGCCTCAACACGATATATATATATATATATATATATATATATATCCGTGTAGGTAGGGCCGGCGCAGAGGGCAAGCCACCGAAGCCACCGATTAGGGCTTCAAAATTTGAGGGTATTTTTATCTAAAAATTTGTTAACTTTTTTTATATACAACTAGATCATCACCCGTACTTTAGTACGGGTTAAATTTTATTTATTATAAAATTTATATAATATATATTAGAACTAAGTTTTAAAATATTATAATAGTAAGTGAAAAAATATTAATTTTGTTGTCAGTCCCTATATACAATATTAGAATAAATATAGATTTTTTTCTATAATACTCAATTATGGATAATTTTTTTTTAAGATATGAAAACGGAAAATAATTTTATTTTTTAAAAAGTAATATTTTTTGAACAATGAGTTAATTTATGTTAACAACCACAAAATAGGATTGCATATATTTCAGTTAGATCAAAAATTAAAATATCATAAATAAATCGCATATAAAACATAGATTATTTTGAATTAATTAAAAAAATTAGGTATTATTTAGAATTAATTTAGAAAATTCTTTTTCAATTCATAATTCTTCGGTTGTTGAAATAGAGATTTGTTTGAGCTAATCTAATTACAGAATTTGTTTGAGATTTATAATTACGGAATTTACCAATTATTCGCATAATCGAATATGTTATAAACA